AAATTGAGAAGGGGATGGTGTGATGGTGTTCCAGGAACCACATTAGACAAACGTTAACCATACATTCAAAGAGTTTGCATACACAACTTGTGAGGGCAATAGGGCGAAAGTCCTTAGGGGATGTTCCCAGAGACCCTGGTATGCAAACATGGAGGACAACGGCATCGAGCCAGTCCTCAGGGACTGACGACGACTCCCAGATCTGATTATACAGACTCAGTAAATACTGAGACGTGCACAGAGGGAGATGGCGAAGCATCTCATAATGAATGCCATCGGAGCCCGCCGCCGTAGAACCGCAGAGGGCCAGGGCAGAACGAAGTTCAGAGAGAGAGAAGGGATCATTATAGAGAAGTCGAAGACGAGTGCAGAAATCTTAAGGACGAGATTCAAGGACAGGTTTATGAAGAAGGAAAGATTGGGGAAGATGAACACCAGAGCTAACAGAAGAAAAGTGGGAATAGCCACGAAAGTGACCAGGACGAGCACCAAGCATCGGCTCCTGGAGACAGACACAAAGGGCAAAAACCACGAAATCAGAAGTTGGAGTAAAAGGAAATTGGCGTAAGTACCCTGAACGTTCCATTGAAGAATAGACATCGACGAGAAGAGAAAGGACAACAACAGAGAACAAGGAAAAAACAAAGGCGAAAGAGGAACATAGCACGTTAAAGAAGATCAGGGTCAGCAAAGTCAGGGTTAGGGGGGCATGGGTAAACTGAGCAAAGACGGAGTGAAGGAAGCGGGAGAACAGACCAGAGGTGGACGGGCAGGGTCCGGAGGAGGAGGAGGAGGAAGAGGAGGAGACAACTGAGAGGAGCAGTTAAGGACAGCAGCAGGAAGAGAAGGAGTAGAAAGAAGGGAGCGCACCTCAGTAAGGGCAGCAACCGAGTGGGAAAGGGGGATAAAGAAACCTCCATAATTAAACAGGGGGCACAACAACCAAAATGGGAGGGGAAGGAGCGAGAGAGTCAGAAGTAGGGGCCGAGGAAGAAAGCGAAGCCTTCTTACCCGCCGGGGAGGAGGAAGGAGAGGAGCAAGGCTTACGCTTCTGACTTAGAGAGGCAGGTGTCCCAGCAACTACGTACTGGGCAACGGATTCCAGGGTCTCAACAGGAGAAGCTGAACGAGAGCACACACGACGGCCGTTGGGAGAGCGATGAACTTCAGCCCGCACTGACAGGCGGCGGGAAGAGCCGATAGACAGAGGAGAAGGTTGAGAAGGAGGATCGGAGGGAGACCAGGAAGAAGACACAGGAGACACGCCAGACCGGGCAGAACGAAGGAACACCCCAGACAGAGGACCAGGAGAGGGACCCTTCGGGACAGAACTCAAAGGAACAGAGGAAGGGGTACCAGGCGTATCAGGGTCCAAGGCCTAGAAACGGTTGTGAGTCTGAGGAAGGTGGGAAGGACGAGGAGAGAAAGAGCGCAACACGCAAGCATAAGAGAGGTTAGCATAAGGCGGGAGCCGGCAAACCTGGCGCCTCACCTCAGGAAAAGATAAACGCTCCCGGTGCTTCAAGTTGAGGACGGCTGCCTCAAGCTTGTAATGTATACACGCACGGGAGAAGGTAGGGTGGACCTCACTGCAATTGAGGCAGCGAGCCTGGGAAGAAGTGCATTCCGACTTAGAGTGACCATCGCCCCCACACATAGGACAGAGAGAGACAGTTCCAGAGCAGCGGAGGGCACCATGCCCAAACCTCCAACACTTATTACAGATCCAAGGAGAGGGAATGTACTTCTGGACAGAGCACCTGACACCAGCAAGAATGACAGAGGGCGGAAGGGTCCTACCATCAAAAGTAATCTTCACAACCCGAAGGGGCTGACGGCGACAACCACGAGGGGGACGAGTAAACATGTCTACCTGCAGGACAGAATTGCCCTGGGCCTCAAGGATATGCTGAATATCATCGTGGCAGTCCTGCAGATTCCGAACACCGGTTGCAACATGGGGTAGAAGGAGAATAGTGCCAACACTGGCATTCAACCGTGCGTTCTTGCAGACCCGAACAGGGGGGTCTCGCCAACGCAGGATAAAGCAGCCAAGCGGGAGGCCGCATCCTGAGAAGGAGCAGCAACTTACTGTTGCCCCCTATTCCACCCTGGCTTTATACAACTCCTAATACAGCAATACAACTCGAAGACAATATTCCAAAGTCTGCACCAAACTCAGCCATAGCCTCAGTCTTTCTCTCAACAATGAAAAATTGCTACCCAAATACCTCAGCGATTTATACAGATGGATCTCGCATCATCATGAACAACGTACCCTCGGTCACTAGCGCTGTATGGATACCGGAATACCATCTCAAGCAAGGATGGTGGTTGCCAAACCAACTATCTGTTTTCACAGCTGAATTATATGCCTTATATCAAGCTCTCCAAATAATCACAACATTACCAGTTGGGACATATACAATCTGCAGTGACTCCAAGAGTGCGATTCAGGCAATTACGTACTCTTCAACAACGTGCAAAGAGTTTGTTTACCCATGTCTTCAACTACTTCATGAACATCGAATGAACGGCTATGGTACCTCTAGCCAATGGGTCCCAGCGCATTGTGGTATTCTCCATGATGAACTAGTAGATCAACTAGCCAAAACAATGCACAACACACCTCACATTACCCGTCATCCAATTCCCCATGTTGCACATAAAGGAGCCTTCAAAAATACCATCACCCAAGATTTTGAGACGAAATGGAAAACGTTATGCTCACCTTTGTACTATGGGTCCGTTAAAAAAAAATGGGAAACTTGGAAACATGTCAGATATAAAAGCAGAGAAATTGATATAGCGATGACCAGATTAAGGCTGGGACACACCAAACTATCAGCACACAGCTCTAAGTACAGAACAGACATCAACGAACTCTGCATCCACTGTCAGGTGCCTGAAACAATCGAACATTATCTCCTGCACTGCTTCGGACATTATAGTGCCAAAGTAAATTTCAAACAAGTACTTATCTCACTTAAAATACCCTTTACCATCGAGCATATATTAAGAGGCGGTGACCACTCGTTACAAGAAAAATACCAAACAGTCAAAGCACTGGCTAAATATCTACAGTCGACCAACAAGCTGGGTCACATCTGACCCGTGCTATATTTAGCCCTGGCGCCACCAACAGCTAAACACAGAAAACAATTGCCTCGTCGCAGTACCAAGGATCAGCTGACGCCATAAACACAACACCTCGCCTCTGTCAGAGGCCGCTCCTCTGTCTACAGCACAAAGCAACAAGCACTTTTGAAACTCTTATCATCCTCAACATAAACGCCTCTACCAACATCTGTGCTGGTGCAGTCATTGGGAGGACAAACCCTTCATGCAAACTGCACCTACTCTCAAGAAGACGAAGAAGGAGCAGCAATGACACGTGTACCGAGACAGGTGGGGTTGAAGGTGACAGAGGCATCTACAGAATCAACAAGGTGCCTATGAAGGGAGAAATCGTCAGGAGGCACAGAATCAAGAGGGAGGAGATCAAAGTATTTGGCCCACGAAGCGGGACCAAACAAGGCTTGATAGGCATCAGAACGGGAAGGAATCGAGCGAGAGGCAGCCGTGTCGAGGACGGCGTTGAGAACCCCCAGAGAGAGAGAGAGAGAGAGAGGGGTTAAAAGGCGCAGTAGTCACAACTAGAGACTGAGCCGTGCCAGGAGACGAGGTAATCACCACTAGGGGCCTGGGGCTCGACCCAACCACAGAGGAGGGAGAGGAGGCGAGGGAAGTTGTCAGAAAGGCCAAAGGAGGAGCAAGGTCGGGGCCCAATGCAGTAGAGGGTACAGAGCCCGGTCTTCCAACACGGACCGACTCGGGGGCTTGGTCACCCACCCCACGAGCCTGAGAAAGTAAAGGAAGAACAGAAATCGACATAAGTACGGAAAACGAAACATTCATTCACGAATGTGCCCCCACACCCACCATGGAGCCACAATTAGAGGCAGGACACTCAACAAGAAGCTATCACCGATCATGCTGGGGTCCCTTAGGGGTGCGTCGTGAGTATACGCCCCACAAACGCCACCTTAAGAACCTTCAGTCCGTCGAGATCGGATTCAGTGACGAAAGGAGGATTGACAATAAAAGGATCCCCTCGCTCTCGACGTTGAGTACTACAGTTTTACGGGTGCAAGAGTTTGCCTCCTCAAGCACCAAAGTGTCAAAATAGAAGAAGTCCAAAAGAATAACCAGAACGAGCAAAAGGTCGGCAGGAAACGACAAGCAGATAGAAGAGGGGGGAGAAAAACGAAACAGAAGGAAAAGGGAAAAGTCGTTCAGCACAATTAGAGAGAACAGCAGCAGGAGCACAAGGCTCCAAAAGGACAGGGGACTGTCCCAAGGAACATCACACTCCGGCAGCTGCCCACCAAGTCCCCTCACGGCAACAACGAGCTGAACAGGGAAGGGGGGATGCTATTAAATAAATTTTAGAAATATAAAGAAAGAAATCGACATGTTGCCAGTGGAGTTACCACATGGGGTTACTGGTAACAGCTATCTGGCCCTCTGGGCAACGAGGGATTACAGCCTCACAGCTCAGGCACTCACTATTCCGCCTCACAACCCAGTCACTCACCATTCTGCCTCACAGCCCAGACACTCACCATTCTCCCTCCCAGCCCCAGGCACTCACCATTCTGCCTCACAGCCCAAGCTCTCACCATTCTGCCTCACAGCCCAAGCACTCACCATTCTGCTTCACAGCCCAAGCACTCACCTTTCTGCCTCACAGCCAAGACACTCACCATTCTGCCTCACAGCCCAAGCACTCACCATTCTGCCTCACAGCCCAAGCACTCACCATTCTGCCTCACAGCCAAGACACTCACCATTCTGCCTCATCCCGGCCACGCTGCGCAAGAAGAACCCTTAATATTGTCCCCTGGAATATAACTGTGTTTGTGGTAAACATATTTAAACAAAAATTTAATTGTTATAGATTTCTTTCCCTGTCATATATATTTTTGTCCCCTCTACAGATGCATAGACTGATGGTGCTCGGGGCGGCGGTGGTGGTGATGGTGAACGGGTCGATAGTGGTGGGCTTCAATGTTCAACCGGAAGTCAAAACTCACCAGCTGTTCACACCAATACCCGAAAATTGTACACAAGTAAGAAGCGAAAAAAACGACATTCATTTTATAGAAATTCAGCTTGTTGCATTGTTGGTCAGCAGTGTTGCATTGTTGGTCAGCAGTGTTGCATTGTTGGTCAGCAGTGTTGCATTGTTGGTCAGCAGTGTTGCATTGTTGGTCAGCAGTGTTACATTGTTGGTCAGCAGTGTTGCATTGTTGGTCAGCAGTGTTGCATTGTTGATCAGCAGTGTTGCATTGTTGATCAGCAGTGTTGCAATGTTGGTCAGCAGTGTTGCATTGTTGGTCAGCAGTGTTGCATTGTTGGTCAGCAGTGTTGCATTGTTGATCAGCAGTGTTGCAATGTTGGTCAGCAGTGTTGCATTGTTGGTCAGCAGTGTTGCATTGTTGATCAGCAGTGTTGCAATGTTGGTCAGCAGTGTTGCATTGTTGGCTAGCAGTGTTGCATTGTTGATCAGCAGTGTTGCAATGTTGGTCAGCAGTGTTGCATTGTTGGTCAGCAGTGTTGCATTGTTGGCCAGCAGTGTTGCACTGTTGGTCAGCAGTGTTGCACTGTTGGTCAGCAGTGTTGCAGCGCTGGTGTGCCGAGTGTTGTTGTAGCCTGGAGTTAAGTTCAAGTACATGCACTCAGGCGCCTCACTCCACGACACTCTTCCTACGCCAGTATCAATTGTAAATTATATTTTGTTGACAATAATTTATTATTATTGTAACATTTTCTTTTCCGTCCTGTACGACTATGTGATGTTCTGTGACCCTGGAATTACAAGTTAATATATTATATATAGTTCACTAAAGAGTTTTGAGCATTGGAATATTGTGGTGTTTAAAGCTATTTATTTCTGACGTTCTGCGTGAATTAAGAACATTTGTCTTAATTTCTATTACAAAATGTGCATAGAAAAATAAGATACGTTGACACTGTGGTAGAGCCTGGTGGAGCTGTTGTTGCTGCGACAGGAAATCCGACTGGACCAGTTGGTGGAGGCGGAGAGGTCGTCCGGGGCCACGCTCGCAGCCATGGCTCTCCTCCTCACTCAACTGAGGGACGATCTTGCCACCAAACTTGTCGGACCTGCTCAAGGTGACATCCTTCAAATAATGCAACCAACTGGGTTTTCTTGCAGATAATGTTAAATGTACCGGGTGAACACATGGTTCGCTATCAGCTATCATAAGAATCTTTTTATTTAATTACCTTATCAAATGCTGTTATTGCACTCCTGCACGTACACGGACATATATGATCAACATTATGAAACTAGTTACAGCCTGTTACACCCTGATGTATATATACTATATATATATATATATATATATATATATATATATATATATATATATATATATATATATATATATATATATATATATATATATATATATATATATATATATATATATATATAATATGTCGTACCTAGTAGCCAGAACGCACTTCTCAGCCTACTATGCAAGGCCCGATTTGCCTAATAAGCCAAGTTTTCCTGAATTAATATATTTTCTCTAATTTTTTTCTTATGAAATGATAAAGCTACCATTTCATTATGTATGAGGTCAATTTATTTTTATTGGAGTTAAAATTAACGTAGATATATGACCGAACCTAACCAACCCTACCTAACCTAACCTAACCTATCTTTGTAGGTTAGGTAGCCGAAAAAGTTAGGTTAGGTTAGGTTAGGTAGGTTAGGTAGTCGAAAAACAATTAATTCATCAAAACTTGGCTTATTAGGCAAATCGGCCCCTGCATAGTAGGCTGAGAAGTGCGTTTTGGCTACTAGGTACGACATATATATATATATATATATATATATATATATATATATATATATATATATATATATATATATATATATATATATGACCGCATATTCTGTATTTATTATTTTCTGGTTTAGGGCTTCTATCCCTCTAACTATTTTCTTAGCATCAGGGCTTAATTGAAATAGGAGTTCTCCAAAACTCATTTTCGTACTTTTAAGGTGAAGAAAAGAAGTGATTTACTATAGAGTGTATTACACTTATTTGTATAATTTGCACGACGTTTCGAACCTCCATGGTTCATTCTCAAGTGAACAGATCTTATAATACTTAGTTGATTTTATACCCGCATTAGGTCAGGTGATAATACATTTGTATTATCACCTGACCTAATGCGGGTATAAAATCAACTAAGTATTGTAAGATCTGTTCACTTGAGAATGAACCATGGAGGTTCGAAACGTTGTGCAAATTATACAAATAAGTGTAATACACTCTATAGTAAATCACTTCTTTTCTTCACCTTAAAAGTACGAAAATGAGTTTTGGAGAACTCCTATTTCAATTAAGCCCTGATGCTAAGAAAATAGTTAGAGGGATAGAAGCCCTAAACCAGAAAATAATAAATACAGAATATGCGGTCATATTCAATGAAACATGTTTGAAAGAAAACCTGCTGCCAGTATACACCAATATATATATATATATATATATATATATATATATATATATATATATATATATATATATATATATATATATATATATATATATATATATATATATATATTTATATATATATATATATATTAGTATATTTTGGTAGCAGTCTTTCCTGTAGACATATATTATTAAATATGACCGAAAAAGTAAGATTAATAATTCTAACACGAATTTTCTCAATCTTTCGTACATTTCTTTTCACTGTTGGAGGTAAATCAAAAATCAATTCTCCAAAATTCATTTTTATTTCTAGTCTGACGCGACACGAGCGCGTTTCGTAAAACTTGTTACATTTTCAAAGACTTTAGTTTACAAATACACAACTGAATAGAACTTACGCATCTCCGATTTTATATCTACATTTGAGAGAGGTGGATGGGGTGAGGTGGCATTAATAGGGTATTAATTTCATCAACACAAGACAGAACAAGAGGTGGCATTAATAGGGTATTAATTTCATCAACACAAGACAGAACACGAAACAATGGGTATTGAATAGAAGTGATTGTAGAAAGCCTATTGGTCCATATTTCTTGATGCTTCTATATTGGAGCGGAGTCTTGAGGTGGGTAGAAAATAGTTGTGCATTAATTGGCTGTTGATTGCTGGTGTTGACTTCTTGATGTGTAGTGCCTCGCAAACGTCAAGCCGCCTGCTGTCGCTGTATCTATCGATGATTTCTGTGTTGTTTACTAGGATTTCTCTGGCGATGGTTTGGTTATGGGAAGAGATTATATGTTCCTTAATGGAGCCCTGTTGTTTATGCATCGTTAAACGCCTAGAAAGAGATGTTGTTGTCTTGCCTATATACTGGGTTTTTTGGAGCTTACAGTCCCCAAGTGGGCATTTGAAGGCATAGACGACGTTAGTCTCTTTTAAAGCGTTCTGTTTCGTGTCTGGAGAGTTTCTCATGAGTAGGCTGGCCGTTTTTCTGGTTTTATAGTAAATCGTCAGTTGTATCCTCTGATTTTTGTCTGTAGGGATAACGTTTCTATTAACAATATCTTTCAGGACCCTTTCCTCTGTTTTATGAGCTGTGGAAAAGAAGTTCCTGTAAAATAGTCTAATAGGGGGTATAGGTGTTGTGTTAGTTGTCTCTTCGGAGGTTGCATGGCTTTTCACTTTCCTTCTTATGATGTCTTCGATGAAACCATTGGAGAAGCCGTTATTGACTAGAACCTGCCTTACCCTACAGAGTTCTTCGTCGACTTGCTTCCATTCTGAGCTGTGGCTGAGAGCACGGTCGACGTATGCGTTAACAACACTCCTCTTGTACCTGTCAGGGCAGTCGCTGTTGGCATTTAGGCACATTCCTATGTTTGTTTCCTTTGTGTAGACTGCAGTGTGGAAACCTCCGCCTTTTTCCATGACTGTTACATCTAGAAAAGGCAGCTTCCCATCCTTTTCCGTCTCGTAAGTGAAACGCAGCACGGAACTCTGCTCAAATGCCTCCTTCAGCTCCTGCAGATGTCTGACATCAGGTACCTGTGTAAAAATGTCGTCAACATACCTGCAGTATATGGCCGGTTTCAAGTTCATGTCGACTAAGACTTTTTGCTCGATGGTACCCATGTAGAAGTTTGCAAACAGGACACCTAGGGGAGAACCCATGGCGAACCCATCTACTTGCTTATACATGTGCCCATCCGGGCTCAAGAAGGGTGCCTCTTTAGTACAAGCTTGGAGTAGTTTCCTCAGAATACTTTCTGGCATGTCAAGAGGAGTAATTAATAATTCTAACACGAATTTTCTCAATCCTTCGTACATTATGCTTCACTGTTGGAGGTAAATCAAAAATCACTTTTCCAAAATTCATTTTTATTTCTAGTCTGACGCGACACGGGCGCGTTTCGTAAAACTTATTACATTTTCAAAGACTTCACAAATACACAACTGATTAGAACTTGCGTTTCCCTGATTTTATATCTACATTTGAGTGAGGTGGGAAGGGTGATGTGGCATTACATTTGAGTGAGGTGGGAAGGATGATGTGGCATTAACACAAGACAGAACACTAGAGGATATTAATAGGGTATTAAAAGTATCAACACAAGACAGAACACGAAAAAATGGGTATTGAATAGAAGTGTTTGTAGAAAGCCTATTGGTCCATATTTCTTGATGCTTCTATATTGGAGCGGAGTCTTGAGGTGGGTAGAATATAGTGGTGCAATAATTGGCTGTTGATTGCTGGTGTTGACTTCTTGATGTGTAGTGCCTCGCAAACGTCAAGCCGCCTGCTGTCGCTGTATCTATCGATGATTTCTGTGTTGTTTACTAGGATTTCTCTGGCGATGGTTTGGTTATGGGAAGAGATTATATGTTCCTTAATGGAGCCCTGTTGTTTATGCATCGTTAAACGCCTAGAAAGAGATGTTGTTGTCTTGCCTATATACTGGGTTTTTTGGAGCTTACAGTCCCCAAGTGGGCATTTGAAGGCATAGACGACGTTAGTCTCTTTTAAAGCGTTCTGTTTCGTGTCTGGAGAGTTTCTCATGAGTAGGCTGGCCGTTTTTCTGGTTTTATAGTAAATCGTCAGTTGTATCCTCTGATTTTTGTCTGTAGGGATAACGTTTCTATTAACAATATCTTTCAGGACCCTTTCCTCTGTTTTATGAGCTGTGGAAAAGAAGTTCCTGTAAAATAGTCTAATAGGGGGTATAGGTGTTGTGTTAGTTGTCTCTTCGGAGGTTGCATGGCTTTTCACTTTCCTTCTTATGATGTCTTCGATGAAACCATTGGAGAAGCCGTTATTGACTAGAACCTGCCTTACTTGACATGCCAGAAAGTATTCTGAGGAAACTACTCCAAGCTTGTACTAAAGAGGCACCCTTCTTGAGCCCGGATGGGCACATGTATAAGCAAGTAGATGGGGTCGCCATGGGTTCTCCCCTAGGTGTCCTGTTTGCAAACTTCTACATGGGTACCATCGAGCAAAAAGTCTTAGTCGACATGAACTTGAAACCGGCCATATACTGCAGGTATGTTGACGACATTTTTACACAGGTACCTGATGTCAGACATCTGCAGGAGCTGAAGGAGGCATTTGAGCAGAGTTCCGTGCTGCGTTTCACTTACGAGACGGAAAAGGATGGGAAGCTGCCTTTTCTAGATGTAACAGTCATGGAAAAAGGCGGAGGTTTCCACACTGCAGTCTACACAAAGGAAACAAACATAGGAATGTGCCTAAATGCCAACAGCGACTGCCCTGACAGGTACAAGAGGAGTGTTGTTAACGCATACGTCGACCGTGCTCTCAGCCACAGCTCAGAATGGAAGCAAGTCGACGAAGAACTCTGTAGGGTAAGGCAGGTTCTAGTCAATAACGGCTTCTCCAATGGTTTCATCGAAGACATCATAAGAAGGAAAGTGAAAAGCCATGCAACCTCCGAAGAGACAACTAACACAACACCTATACCCCCTATTAGACTATTTTACAGGAACTTCTTTTCCACAGCTCATAAAACAGAGGAAAGGGTCCTGAAAGATATTGTTAATAGAAACGTTATCCCTACAGACAAAAATCAGAGGATACAACTGACGATTTACTATAAAACCAGAAAAACGGCCAGCCTACTCATGAGAAACTCTCCAGAC